ATTTGACAGAGGTCGCTTGAAGTCTGTCTCTTTCTATGTGTTCAGCACATGTCTACAGGGTTGCCTTTATTTTAATGGCCAATTTTTTTTAATTTTAAATTTTAAAGTTACACTTTTATAATTAAACGTACAACAGCACCTTTCCTAAAATAAAGTTTTTTTTTTAATTGTTACCCAAAATGTCTCTATCGATTAGTAATCTTCTTTGGTATCTAGGAACCATATTAACGATTTATTTTATAAAAATTTCTTCTGTCCGTATTTCGAATTGTCGGCGTTTAGATTTGTCGGTATTATGAGTTGTCGGTATTTTAATTTGTCGGCGTTTTGATTTGTCGGTGTTTTGATTTGTCGGTGTTTTGATTTGTCGGTATTTTGATTTGTCGGTATTTTGATTGTCGGAATTATAAATTTCGAGATTTTGACTGTCGGCATTACATTATACACCCAAAACAAATATTTACCTGATTTTTGAAAACATGAATTTTGAACAAATGCTTATGATTTCAAATACCATTTTTGTATTTATGAATTGTATTGAATTTTAACATAAAGAGATACAAAGTATCCTATGTCCGTCCAGTGGTTCTAAGCTACCTCCCCAACAATTTTCAGCCAAATCGGTTCAGCCGTTCTGGAGTTATAAATATTGGTTGACATGTTATATAATTTCCTTGGCTTTGATTCTTGCAAATGAAAAATTGAAATTTAAGAATATTTCTCGGCGTTACTTGTGAAAAACTAACATCTAACGAATAAACACCTGCTTTTTTATTTCTGATGATGCGGCGCTAAGTTCCGAAACCCGCTCAAATAATTACTGCCATTACCTAATAAAGGAAGTATAAATCGTCGTTACAAAAAGTTCACAAAGGCATGAGTGGGTTTGCACGAATCAACTTTACCCCCTTTAGTCTAAAAATCGTTCTGTACTACCGGAACCGATCCCACTACCAAACTTAACTATAAAATACTAGCGCTTTGTCAGACTGCATTAGAATCCACTTAGCGGTATAAGTAACTTGATAGCTTCAAAAAAAAGTTAAACACATTTTTCATTGTTAAATTCTCATTCAAAGAAATATATCAAAATCTATCCTTTCTCTGAACCAACTTTTGAAACGTTGGACTAGCTTGCATAAAGGAAACAAAATGGCTTTTGTTATCAGAAAATATCATCAAACAAACATTTAAACGTTTAGCTACTATTAAGTTGCAGAAACAAAAACAAAACTAACTAAACTAAAAACAAACAATTTCAATAACACAATCGTGTGAAAGGTAAATTATTACTTTCAAAGACGAGCAACTTTGTTCTTAATTCCCACCAACTGCTATGTTACAACAACAATCCTTTCACACTCATAACGATATGCGGCAAAATCGACTTCCCCAAACTGATTGGAGCTTATCAGTGCGGCTTTAGTCCAGGGAAGTCCAAACAACGACTATTAACAGCTACCAAATCTTGGAAAAGACCCGTGAAAAGAAAATCGACTTTTTTCTCGAAACAGTGTTTTTGAAGTCGGTTGACAAGATTTCTCGAGAACTACTCAACCGATCTTCATGAAATTTTACACAGGTTTTGCGATACAATTCTTAAAGGCTTGGATGAAGGATTTTTTGTTTTTCGATTACAACTATTAAAAAAAAATAGTAATTATCACGAAATTTTCACTGAAATTCTTATTTGTTTGTAAAAATGTCTGTAAAAATCAAATTTTCAATATTCTTTTTCTTCGTCCAAGTTTAAGTAAAGGCTTTAATTAAAACACGTATTTTTTTCATTTTGGATCATCCTGTAAGGACGCGGACGCATCTTTTTTTCCGAGGGGTCACCAGAAATGGCGTTTCAATGGCAGAGTCTAAAATATTTTATTTATTTCAGAATTTCTTTGTTAATAATGTGTGTCCGAAGGTCCTGGCAGCCAGTGCTCCTTTTTTCGTGTAAATAAAATAATTGTATTATTTTTTTTCACATTTATAAATAAATAAATAAATGTGTATTTGTAACAATAAAACATTCTAATAAAATATTTAATTTTTTATTTGAAAAAAAAAATTGTTGAAAAAATAAAATTTTTTATCCGAGGAAACTCATGTAACTCCAAGAGAGAAATTTGATTAATTTTCAAATAAAAACAATGTAAAAATTGTAATAAACAAGTTTTTTTTTAATTTTCTTCTGTTAATTAAGATTAAAATTTTTTTTATAGAAATTTTCTACATATCATGAGGTATATCGTGGAGTGTATGAACTAATTTTTTGGACTTTTTTGATGACGCCTGTCGGAGAAATGGCAGAGCGAATGAGATGCGTTTTTTAACTGGCGGACACGATTTCTCAAGTTTGGATCGTCTGAAATACAAAAACCCAATTTATTCTTAAAAATACGTGAATGGTTATCGTGTCTACTAGAATCATGAAAACATGTTGACAAATGAAAAAGTAATTAACACTTTTTTTTAAATTTTCCCCATAGTTTTTTACATAAATTTTGCCATAACATTGTCAATAAATTATAAAAAAAATATGAAACTAGTAGGGACGTTTTGTGAACATTCAGAACAAGAAATTAAGCAAATCGGTTGAGTAATTCCGACCGGAAACATGTCCGCCAATTTTAAGAAGTGTGTTTTGAGAAAAAAGCGTTTAAAGTGCCAGGTGTGCACTCCGAGCCCTCCGAACGTTGAGCGGATTTATTAATTTTGGGCCTCTTTCGAATAATTCCAATGGTAAAGTGGATTTCAACATTAATTCTAAGGGTATAAGGGAACAGAAAATGCAAAAAATAATATAAAATTTTTGAATTTAATTAATACATTTTAATTAAGATTGCTTACAAAATGTACTGACTCCTTAACTGGGAGTTCTTTGCTTACAAAATGCACAAAAATCTTGTACACTGCAAGGAATTTATTTGTTTTTATAAATAAAATATTATCTTAATATTCTTCTTTCAATATTTTCCTACAGGGTAGCCAGCTGCGAAAATTCGCACCAATGTTTGTATGTATGACATTTAAATATGCTAACTCAACAACTTCTGCCAGGCATTTAGCACACCTTCCAAAACTATTACTCAAAAAATTGCTGCCGGGCTGAAAACTGAAAACATCTTCAAAATAAACTCGTTGACGCAGCCATGCTAAGCGTATTTAAGTAACAAAAGTTCTCGTAAGAAAATGTGTAACTGTGTGCATAACTGTATATGCGGTTGCACCTTTCTTAAGTGTTTAACAAACAAACACGTAAATACATACTTTGTAATATTTTGTTGCTGTTTTTTCATATTTTTCTTTTATGATGCTACGCTGCTACACTTTTTACGCTTCAAATTCGCTACAAAAACATTTCACTACAATTTCGTGGCGCTTCATAGACACGTTGTTGCATTTAATGATTTTTTACTCGCCACGCTTTCAAGTAACTTAATTTTGTTTTTTATTTTTTAACTTTTTTTTTTGGTTTTTTTATTTGAGTGGAAAATGCATTAACTGGGTTGATTGGCACACACACACACATGCGTGTACAAATGTGTGTTTGGGGATTCACTTCGCATACATTAGTGAATTGCCGCTGATTTTCTGATTGTTGTTGTTGCTACTTTTGTTGCAGCTATTTTTTCACTTAACTTTTTCCACTTGTTTGTCCTTTCTCTCTCTTTCTTCGTGCAGCAAAACAATATTATTGACTTTCACGAAATGCGAATGCCAAATATACTAGCATAGCAGGCACACACACTTACGCACACATATGTATAAACAGGGACACACACACCCATATGCGAGGCAAGTAGAAGTTCCCAGTCGCAGTATAAGCATTTTGGCTGCAAAAGAAAGCCGAAAGCCGGTGTAACAACGCGGCACGGCGCTGCTGATCGGAAGTGTGTTGCTCAAGTGGCACTACTTACAGCTTATTGTTGTTGTTAGCAGTTTTGTTATTGCTGGCTGTGTTGGCGGTGGTGTGACGCGCCTTGTTGCGTTGCTGCAGCTTCAATTGCCGCTTGTAGTAGCACGATTTTTTTGTTGCTTTTTCACTGCAAATTGTTTGCTTTTCTGTTGTTGTTGCTGTTATTGTTCAGCAGCTTTTCGCTGTGACATTCAAGTTTGCCGTTGCAGCAAATATTAAATTTCCAGTATCATCAAGCTTACTTTACTACCCCACTTTTGTTGTTGTTTTTGGCAGTTTGGTGAGCAATAGACCGCGCGGCAACCCAACGCTGCAGGTTTATAAGAAAAAACTGTAGTGTTAATGGCAAACACAAACATGCGCACGGTTGCTATTTTTTTTCAAATTTTTTTTTAATTTTTATTTCAATTTCAAACTGATTTTTCTACTTCACGCTGCACAACTTAGCACAAATTCACTTGGCATACAATTTACTGTAACGCTCTTATAACGGTCTCGTTGGTGGTAAAACGCGTGTACGCCTCATTCAGTATCACGTCGGCGACTAAAACTACCTGCGATCAGGCATATGGCGCTTTGCCACTTGCCAACGAGCCAAGCCATCCATCCATCCACCATTCAGCAAACCGCAGAGTCAGCCGCCAAGCCGCCGATCAGCCAAGCAGGCAAGCAGCCAAGACATCAAAGTCAAAGCTTAAATGCGGACAGTTGCCGCGCTGTCGCTGCTGAGCTCCACCAAAAACGCAGCGCTAAAAAGCTTTCGCTGCGACGCGTGACGTGAGCCGACGGCGCGCTTTCGAAAACGAGTCGAAAAAATACAACCGAACGGGTATTTACGCGCGCCGTAGACGACTGGCTGAAGAAGCCGACACAGCTCGTAAGCGCACAAAAATTTTAAATAAATGTGAAAAATAAAAGCGCAGTCAGCAGCGCCGTCAGCGTCGTCAGCGCCATTGCGATAATTTGCTTATGCGGCGCCGCTACTCCGACGTGCTGTTAACGTTCGCTGGCGCGCATGTTTTGCTCTGCCGCTACCGATGCGACTGCGTTTTTGTTTTCATTTATTTCTGTTCTTTTTGGTTTGTTTTGCTTCGTCGGCGTGTTGGCAGAAAGGTTTTGATTCAGTTACTTTGTTTGTGTTGCTTGCGGTTGCGCGTTGTTGTTCTTAGCTGTTAAAATAGTAGTTGGCACAACTTGACTTGACGTGGAAATAAACAAAGCAGCTTACATACAACACATATATATTTACATAACTATTTATGTTTAATGTCTACAACAACAGCCATAACCTGACATTTCTGTGTTTCGCGCATTTAACATTATAAATACTTGAAATTCTGCAACAACAACTACCGATGAATCTAGGTTTTATTTAATTTTTGGCGTTGATCACATTTATTGAGCTTTTATTGCGGCCTTTTGGTAATATTTGCGTATGTAGTAGTACCGCTGATGAAGTATTGAAAAACGACAAGGTTGAAAGTGACTTTATTGGTCTTGTAATTTTAGACACACGAAAAAATAGTATCAGCTGATTCCAATACTTATTAAGGGGGTATTCTACCCTAGAAATCAAATTTTGGGCAGTTTTTGAATTTTATTTAAAAAAAAACCAAAAATATTTTTACTATCCATTTTTTTATGGTGTTTTTATTGATATCTCAAGAATACAGAAAAAAAATTTTACAAAACAATATTAAAAATTAAAATAATTAGAGGGGGGAGAGACAGGTGTAAAAAAAATGGCGCATCATGGCGACATTGATCCTGACTCCCCTGGTGGTCTGAAAAAAAAAAAATCAAAAGAAATTCTTAATCAGTAAGGATGCTGTTATAGTTCCAATCTCAGGAACACGAAATTTTTTTTTTTTTGAAAAATGGCGACTGCTTGAAAATAAAAATCATTTTTTACGTTGTTTTTTTGAAATTCCCGAATTTTTTTGAAAATATTAAAAACAAAAATTTTGACACGATGCTGGTAGGAACGACAAAGGATTATATAAAGAAGGTTCACACAAAATTTCAAGTAAATCGGTAGTATAGAACTTGAGATAATGACGGTACCGTGTGGAAAAAAGTACCGGGCTAGGTTATGCGCCGCTAAAGTAACTGTAGCTCTTAAAATAATTTTAATTTTTAAAAATCCTTTGGAGGGTATGTTCTTAAGGGTCTAAACTTTAAATATATGAAAAATAAATTCGAAACTGTTGAAGGTCTCTTGGGGAACCCGTTATAATCTCCTCTTCTTATTTTACTTTACTGGATTTAAAATCGCCAAGCACGATTTTGACATTGAGGGGCGGGCAGCTCTCATAGATGCGCTGCAAGTGCTCATAGAAGACATCTTTGGTCACATCGACCTTCCCTTCCGCCAGGGCATAGACGTAAAGCAGCGATATGTTGAAGAGCTGTGCTTTTATGCGGGTTATGGATAGATATTCATCAACCGGGGTGAATGCCAGTACTCAGCGATGGAGTCTCTTTCCCTCCTCGAATCCCACACCGAATTTGCAATCCTTTATATGGCCATTGTAGCCGGTGACTCTTACGAGGACATCAACCAGATAGGCAGCAAGACCATTACATCCCAAACTGATCTTACAATACTATAATGTCAAAACATAGCATTTTACATTATCAAAAAGCTTTTTAATTGACTCCGATTCTGAAATATACATATTTCTGGAACGATTATTCAGCAAGGGCTAAGCTTTACTAAATAAATAAACATTTTGTTTAATCGATTAATACAATACAGGGGCTTAGTTTCATGACACAAAGAAAATTGGTTTCCAAAATTTTACCGTGTAGCCCAATCCAGTGGCCAGTATTTGAAATTCCACAACAGCTGCGACAAAACTCCACCGAGCGAGAGCGTAAAGAATGACTGGCATGCTAAAAATGTCGGCAAGCGACTGAATACAGCGATAATAATAATAACAATGACAACAGTAGCGATGCCATTAAAAAGAAAAAGCAACAAACAGGCAACAGCTGCAGCGTTGACCGCAACAACTGCGCAAGCGCAAGACAGCACGAAAAATATAAAGCTTCTAGCAGACAAAATGCAAAGACAAACATACGTACTTCTATGTATCTACGAAATAAGTCGTATTTACTTATTAATTTGTAGTTCGGCATTCGGTTGGAGCCATTCAGGGCGCTACCAACAGTTGCCGCCGATCGAACCACAAAAGGTGAACAACAAATTGCCGCGCTGCAAGCGGGTAAATACCCAAGTGGAAGCCAAAAGACACAGTTCTTATGTAAATATATGCCCTGCGAGGAAGTTAATTGAAATTCGCACATTTTGAAGTTTCTGATCTAAAAGCTATATATATATATATATATATATTATATTATATATATTATATTCATGTATGCCTAGTATTACAATTTATTTCTGTGAAACTTCATACTAATCGTAGAACTAGTTTATTCGAACTTTAAAAAAATATATCTTACTAGTTTGACAAGGGATAAGAACTTGTGTACCCAAAATCTGAGAGATTTGATAATCACTTGCCCATTTTATAAAATTTGAATATTTTAAGTTCTTAGGATCGCCATTATCGAGAACACATTTGCAGTCTTAAAAAATGTAGGTTCGCTATATAAGTAATATTTATTGAAATCGAGAAATACATTGTGAGAAAAATGCATTTGGAAATTTTGAAATTGAACATGCTTCGATCTGGACCACTTTCGACCTCTTCAACTAATGGAAATATTAAAAAAGTGAAAAATATAGTAGCTGAAAATCGTCAGGCATATGTTAGAGAAATGGTAACAGAGCTCGACATCTCTCAAGAGTCCGTTCGAATAATTTTGGTGGATATTTTGGGTATGAAACGCGTTCTTGCTTAAATCGTCCCGATAAAGCTGAAAGTTTATTCGATATTCCTGTTTTGGTGGATCATGAATTTGTTCCGCAGAGACAAACGCTCAATAAGGAGTTCAATGTGATCGTATTGAGTCGTTTGCCATAAATATGTATATTTGAGAATATTCTCCGATTGAATTTGATCCAGCAAATAGTTTAGAAGATATCGGCGTATTTGTTGTACTATAATCAGTGGCGGATACAATCGACGAAGATTTGAAGACATGCTTTTTAGGGAAGTATTGGACGAATTTCAAGTGAGTTTGCAGCTTCCAAAAAAAGTATATGCTTTGAAAACCAAAGAAATTAATAATCTTATGGACTACTTGATGGATAGATGCAAAGGCCTTTTTATTTGATATATATAGCAGCTCGATTTGAAATTTTTCCATCATGATATTAAACTTAAAGACTACTATAATTAATATAATTATCTTCATGTTTCAAATAAATGTTTGTTTCCCCCTCCAAAAAACTACTTCTAGATCTGTCCCTGCTATAATCGAAATCTAAAACTTTAAACGCATTTTTCTCGGAACGTTGTCGGTGAGAAAATTTTCACTGAAACGACTGACCGATCGACTTGCATAGATATATTTCTTAAGAAATATCGAAACAATAAGATTTTTGATAATAAATTCGGGATTTCAAGCCAAATCGAAAACAACTTTTTTTGGTAGCCTCTGTTTTGTCAAAAATGAAGATATTGACTAGTCATTCCAGCTTGTGTTTGGTTTTTGGATTTGAAATAATTTTAGGGAGCGAAATCTTCCTCAGCGCCAGACACATTTTTCCAGAGATCCTCCTGAAGAGGTTCTACGAGATCAAGGAAATCCAAAATTTTCAAAACGATTCATCGGTTATTAAAATATATTGACTTTTGTAAATCTACACTATTTTAAATGTTCAAATAAAATGTCTTTATAAAAAATATTCACGGAAAAAAGCGTTTTTTCTGACTTGCAAGTGGATATAACCACTTAAATTAATATCTACTTCAGAGGACGACTTATAATACAGAAATATAATGTCCTTCCTTCTTTATTTTAAGGCACATGATTCATGTAAATTCCTTTCCTCGGCACAAGTACCTCCTTCATACCCCACAGGTTAATTATATGACTATGAAGTCACTTCAAAAAACTTTTTCATGTTTTTCCGACCGGGTGCATAGCAATTATCATACTCAGCTCAGGCAGCGCAACACTGCGCGCCGTCGCAAACCGGCAGCAGCAGCGCGCAGCAGCAACTGACAGTTAGGCAGTGGTAGTGCAGCAATTTGCCCAGTTCAGCTGTCGATTTTGCAGCAGGTTGACTGTTGTTTCGTGCAGTTCAAAAAAATGCCGCAAAAAATTGCTGCTGAAAGATCGTAATTATATATAGACTTGTAAATATGTGTGGGTATGTGTGTATGGTTGGTGGTTATGCCAACATTGTGCGGTTTGCGATGTGGGCTGGCTGTGTCGTTATTTTGTGACCAATATTCAGCAGTTGTTGTTGTACAGTTGTTGCTGTTTGCTTGCTGGCACAAAAAGCTGTTGCTGTTGTTGCAAATTTTTCTCCACTGCAATTATTGTTCAAGTGTACACAGCATTTGCATTTTTGCTGCTGCAACTACATATATATTGACAACTTATTATT